CTTTGGGGTTGTTTTAGGTGATCTGGAAGTCTGGTTTTGGGAATTGTTTACCTGTCTTCTCATTTTGATGTGGGGCAGTGCCATTGGTGCCTGTGCAGCTCACCTCCTCTGCACTGGGAGTGGTGCTATGGTGGCCCAGGAGCCTCCTCCTGGGGGCTGGGATTGGCTCACCTCCTCTGCACTGGAAGCAGTGTTATGGTGGCCTGGGAGCATCCTCCTGGGTGCTGGGATTGGCTCACCTCCTCTGTGCTGGGAGCAGTGCTATGGTGGCCTGGGAGCCTCCTCTTGGGTTCTGGGATCAGTTCACCTCCTCTGCCTGAATAAGTTTTAAATGATTGTAGAAGTAGAGTGAAATTACTCTGGCTATCCAACTTTTTTTTACTAGATATCATGAAATACTTGAGACCCAGTTTTCACAGCTGTTTAATGGGAAAGATAAAAATTATCACAGAATTTTATGAATATAATAATTAAAAGAATTCAGGCAACATATGTAGAGAATTAAACTCAGTTATTATTCTTTAAAACACTTCATCATTAAATTATTACAGACTGACAAGAAATTGTGAAAATAATGCAGTGAGAAACTACATACACTTCATCCAGTTTTCTTCAGTCTTACAGCTCTTTCCCTTCAGAGTTGAATTTATTCTTATTTTTCCTTAAAGTGCAACATTTTCTTTGAACCTCTTAGGACACATTATTATTTTCTCCCTATTCAAAGAAGTGACAGATGTAGCATTGGGATGCTTAGAACAATAATAACACTCAAGAGATTTGGTTTCTTTAAAAATTGCCCATGTTTTGATGACAAAAATACCCAGCCAGAAAAAAAAAAGTCTAAAAATTTGGCCGGTATTCACTCATTTGTTGAAAGCTTTGTTTTAAACTCTCAAGCAATTTATACCCCATCTGAATATGTGATAATTGACTAACAACCTGCATCCTTTCATGGTTATTGTAGTTTCTGGCAACTTATGCCAAATCAACCTCACAAATATAGTATAAATATATATGCCCTGGTAGATGTGAAGACATTTTGCACCTTGAATTTAGAAATTTATCCTGGAACTCAACCACCAAGTCTTTATTGGTGAAGTAATAAACCATCTGTTGTGAACAGACTTGTTGCACCTATTTCAAAAAGTAACCAAAATGTCACATTCAACAATTGGTTCAGTAGATACCCATTGATGTTACATTTGCTAAAAGAACACCAGTTGACCTGCACAGAAGCTATTCCCAAGAACAAAGTGGAGATTCCTGAAAAAATGTTTCAAGTTCACAATAGAGAATTGTAGAGTATAATCTTTAGATTTCAGAAGGACATAACATTGGACATGTATACTTAGAAGAAAAACAAAGTAGTGTTGATATTGTCAACACTACACCATGATGATAAGATTGATAGTGAAGCTTGGCATTGTGGTGCATGCCTACAATCCCAGGGAGGGGGGAAGAAATGAAGGGAAAAGAAAAATAGAGACTAGAAGGAAAAATGGAAGCAAAGGTTTTGTAAATAAGAGTGAGGAAGGGTTGCAGGGGGGAAAGGATTGGGAAAAAAAGAAGAATCAAGATATACTATGTACAGGGCCAGGGATTTAGCTCAGTGGTTCTGCTGCCTGACTTGCAAGTAAGCACAAGGTCCCATGTTTGATCCCTGGTACCAAAAAAAAAGATATACTATGTACAGATACAAATTTCCTATGATGAATGTGATCATTATGTATATCTAAAGTATAGTAATAAAATTAATTAAAAATATTACTCATAGGGCCGAGAATTTAGCTCAGTGGTTTTGCCACCTGCTGTGCAAGCTCAAGGACCCAAGTTTGATCCCCAATACAAAAAAAATATTACTCATAAGAACTCAAAGCATTAAACATAAATTCTTATGTGATGATGCATTACATCTTTGAACATATCAGTGATTTTTTTTATCATAATGAAATTTGAATTCATTCTCCTTATTATTAATATATTTGCATAAATTTATTATTTAGAAAATCTGATAGATGGAAGATCCCATAATGGGATTTATTCATGTTTTGCATCCTTGCTTTGATCCACTACCTATTTTAACACATTATCTATCAAAAAAATAATTACTTTGTACTTGCCAATATATTGTTATAAATTATGTGAGACAATTATTTATTCAAAAAGTATTTAGAAGGCAGGTCTGTGCACACCCTACCGAGGTCCTGAGTCATGCAGAAGATGCCAAATCACCCCACTGCAGACAGGCAGGTCTGCCCACCACCTACTGAGGTCCCCAGTTATGCAGAACACATGCCGAATCAGCCTGCTGCAGACAGGTAGGTCTGTGCATGCCCTACTGAGGTCCTGAGTTGCACGGAAGACACCAAATCACCCCGCTGCACACAGGCAGCCACCTGATTCCAGACTACAAAGACGCAGACCACCAGACCACCAGACCAAGGTACTGAGTCCCACTGTTCCCGGCCCAGAGGAAGGGGCTTCCCAGTCACCATTCCTCCTGCTGCTCCCAGCCCAGAGGAAAGGGCTTTTGGGCCACCTACTGTCCCACTGCTCCTGGCCCAGAGGAAGGGGCTTCTGGGCCGCCATCCCTCCCACCACTCCTGGCCCAGACGGAGGGGCTTCTGAGCCACAATCCCACTGCTCCTGGTCCAGAGGAAGGGGTTTCCCGGCCACCATCCCTCCGGCTGCTCCAAGCCCATAGGAAAGGGCTTTTGGGTCGCCATCCCTACCACTGCTCCCGGCCCCTGTCCTACCTCACCCAGCTCAGAGGAGGTAATCTGTGCAGGCGGTAATAGTCCCCTGCCCCAGTCAAAATGAGAAAACACATAAATAAGTCTCAAAACCAGACTTCCAGATCACCTACAGCAACCCCA